CTCATTATTATGTCATATATGCGTATAGCGTGAAGCTAATCTTTTCTACCCCTTTTAGTCTTAGTTAGGTATTATAGCGTATAATAGAAATAAAGATACTTTTTATACTTAATTTAAACCCCTACTATACAAGTAAACTACTACTTTAATAAAAGTAAACCACTACTTTAAAGCTATTTACAGGTATACACGAGGTTAGTTTACACCTATATAGTAAACCCCTAGCGTACCATTCTACAGTAAACAATTTTTTACCGTAGTGCTTCACGTACAATGTCTGACAGCCTTGGGCCCCAGAGCTGGCGGTAGAAATTTGTGTGCTATCCTCCATTCAGGAGTATCTGTATCACCCAAGAATACGCCCGCTTCTTGATTTTTGATACCGTAGAGAGGATGTGAAGGAAAGATGTCCTTGGTGAAAAAGTCATTTTCGGCAAGAGCAACACCGGCAATATCTGGATCATTCGTGTGGAATAATGTACCTCCAAGGTTTGTTGTTTTGAAAGCTGGTCCATACTTTTCGAAAAGACGTTGATGGTTGCCAAGATGATCTGGGAACACTTCGAAGAACTTGCCTACATATGGCTTGCCTTTCGGTCCGGGAACCTCGCGCACACTGCTGCCATCTATGGTGATGCCAATGGGCACTTCTGAGGAAAAGATGTCGCGGATATGTGAAAGTGTAGCATCGTCACGGACAAAACCGATGCCTGACAGAAGACAAGTTAGAATTATGATCAACTGCTGACAGTTCAGGCGAATTGAGCTCACCTTTGGACACTACAAATGCAAAACGAGACGCAATAAGATCTTGAAGATCTTCAAAGGATATGTCCTCGTTGGCTCTAACCGTTCGTGCAGAAGTCTCGGCTTCTCCAAGCAGAAAAAAATCTTGAGACAGCATCGTGCACTACGGTACAAAATTGTTTACAGTAGAATGGTGACCTAGGGGTTTACTATATAGGTGTAAACTGCCCACGTTTATACTAGTAAAAAGGTTTAAAGTAGTAGTTTACTTTTATAGTAGGGGTTTAAATTAAGTATAAAAAGTAGTTTTATTTCTATTATATAATATAATACCTAACTAAGACTAAAAGGGGTAGAGAAGATTAGCTTCACGCTATACGCATATATGACATAATAATAAGTCATGATATTTCTACTAATAGGAGGTGGTGATAGAGGTGGTGGTATAGGTAGTGGTAGAGGTGATAGTAGAGGTGGTGGAGGAGGTGGTAGTGGTATAGGTAGTGGAGGTGGTGAAGAAGATTAAAGAAAGGAGGGTAAAATACTTAAATAGTTAGTAGGAAACTAGTTATTACTATATACTACTAGTAGATTTAATAGAAGTAGAAATAAAAGTAGTTTACTCTTATAGAATATATAGTATAATAAACCCTATTTAGGTTTACTTCTTCTACCTAAACCACCTCTTAGTCTACTTTAGATAAATATGGCTACTGTGAACCAGTTTTGTACCGTAGTGAGATAGAGCGTTTGGAGTCATGTCTGAACGATCCAAGAAGGGGTTGCGTTAAACACTTCCAGCGCCATTCACTAGCGTGGCTCCACTTGCCGCGATCCATCCTGCCTTTCGTCACGTCGAGTAATAAACTTTCGCCCGTTCTTCGGACCCGCACAGCAACTCATCTTGCGACCTGTGCAGTGACAATACGACACCTTAGCCCGCTTGATCCATAAAACGTGATTTTTTTCTTGTTAGATTTTGCAGACTAAGCGACGCTCGTCCGAACATTATCTATACTCTTGAATTTTTCTTGCTATGATTATACTAGTCTTGTAAATTTTCACATATTATGACTCCGTAGTAGCTCGTACGAGTGAATTTAGACCCTGAAAGTGATAGACCCTGATGTTCTTCGCTCGAAGTGCAGGTTGCGTTGACAAGAAGACGTCATGAAAGATGTAAGAGGCCAGAAATCCATGTGAAATCTGCATATACGGTGAGAAAACTGCGCAAACTCCACAGCTTATACACACATCCCTTTGACTTGTCCCCATTTCAACACATTTAGTCTTCCTTTGGCGTATAACACGAAGCCAGACGCGACCTGAAACACACCAGTAGTGAACTTATGTGCAACCTTAAACAACCACATGATCCGACATATATGCAAACCACCTTCTTGCGGAGGTCGATGAAATTGGGGTTAACAACTGCGTTCCTCCATATTATCCTGATACCAGTGTCTCAGCATCAAGTCTCTACACGTATACATCAGCGCCCGTGAAGACAGCACTATGTCATTACACTTTGAGAAGAATAGTGGATGATTTAGTTCACCACGAACAGCCATAGGCTCGCGAAAGACTTAACCAACTTTGTTTATTTCCATGTCTCCAAATTCAGATGCGTCCGTACATGCAAAGTGGTGTCGCAAACGGAGACTAGTGCCATGTACCACCCCACACACTGATATCTACAATCTATCAGCGTTCAATCTAGATGAGGGTCAAGGTTTTCCTTGCCTGTTCTACAACCTCGTCAAGCCAACGAATTATACGGGACGCAAGAGAGAGGAGATGTTAAAATGAGAGAGGCATCATTTGGAGCAGTCATCTTCAAACTTAAATCATTCATACTACGTATGCATAGCCTAGGAGGCTGACTGACATTGGAGATGATCAATGAGCGGGTTGTCAAGTGGTCTTGGTGGTGGACTTGGGCAAACAGTCGTGACTGTGTCTGTATTTCATCGGCGTTCAAATATTTTGACTCACATGGAGGGTGTAGAAGGACCATGTGTTGAACCAAGTCAAGGCTCTAATAGCTCAAGTAAGTTTGGGTTCCTACGAGCTCTTGCAGATGGGGGCACAGATTCCCGTGGACTCATCAAGATGACTATTCAAAGCAAGCCTTCCGAATCCATCTAGGGCACCAATCCCGCGCTGGAACATCCCCTTCCTTCCTCCTGCTCTTTCTAGCACGTCGACGCACCGTTTGCAGTCCCGCTCTTATAAGCACTCGACGTATCACCCAAGCACTCAGCTACGACAAAAGTCAGCCCAACCATTCCAAAGCGCACCATAACAAAAGCAGTCTACTCACCAACAGTCACCAATTTCAAATTATTGCTCTTGGCCCAATTGATCAACCAAGGCGTCAGCGTATCCACAGTACTAGCATACGTCTCGTGCATGAGAGGAATATGCCCGTTACCACCTGCACCGGCCTGAGTAAACTTTTGCTGGCTTTGCTGTGGCGTCTGATTGTTCCAGTCGCCAGAGTCGATGTCGTTGGTGATGACGCGGTAGCCGAGCTGCTTCATAGTTGGGAGGACGTTGCCGCCTGTGGCAAGGTAGGGAGGACGCATGTATGTTGGCTTGACGCCGATGATGTTGACGAGAGCTTGTTCGAGACGCGTCATTTGGGTTGTGAGGTCATTAGTAGAGAGGGAGCCGAAGTTAGAAGGATGGGACCATGAGTGCGATGCGATTTGGTGGCCGGCTTTGTAGGCGTTTTGCAGAGCGGCTTTTTGGTTGTAGATGCAGCCGTAGAGGGTGCCGGTGACGAAGAAGGTCCCCTTGGCTCCCCCGGCGTTGAGCGTGTCTACGAGTTTCTGGGTGTATTGATATGGGCCATCGTCGTAGGCTAGTGCAAGCTGTCCAGGTGCATTGCATTTTGTTATCACCTTGAGGTTGTATTAGTAACAACCCTATCTCCTGTTTGGGAAGGATTAACGAGGTAATACCTGTCCAGCTGCAGGCCCAGCCTGCCTCATCACGTTCAAGGGATCAGGAATAGGCTTGGCCACCGCCATCACCGCCAACGAAGCAAGCAGTACAGTTTTGAAAACCATGATGAAGTTTAGTGGTATCCAGTAGGCCTGTGGAGGAGTATCCACATAAACTTACGTTTCGCCTCGACTCTATATACTGTGTGGAGTATGAGTGCCCAGTCTTTCCTTACGCCGGTCTGGGGAAGCTTAGGATCTCTTGGCTCGTTTATATTAAACGAGGTTCTTTAACCGGGACATCGGGTACGGTAAATGAGGACCCCGCCGCGGATTAATTAGCATTTGCTTCCCCAGAATGGCGCAGTGTTAGGTTACACAGTAGTGGCGGGTGTCTATCCGCAAGTTTTCTCGCCAAGCATGACGACGGTCCATGTACTCTACATCACGCCCTCGTCCACTTATCATCATATGAAGACGTATGCAGCCAAGTAATCCGATCAACCTTAAATTGAACATCGCAAACCCATCTGTCCGAATTTTGTTGTCATTGATGTGAGTACTCCTCATCACGTATGTTACCGCCGGCTAATATTGAGTAAACACCCTGCATAAAGAGTCACGCAACAGGCTCAAGCATGCGCTAGATTATTCTCCGACTTCGAAGAAATCCATTCAATCGGTGGGGCGACAGGGTGGGCTGATTGTCCCTATATCAGCAGAAATAAACCGCGGAGTCCCCGGGACACCATCGTTTCATCCCTACTGACCACGACTTCTGATGTACCGGTGGCCTTCTTCCGGCCAGCGCAATACTGCGTGTAATTGCCTCATTTAAGTCTACCCAATATAATGCATTCTTCGAACTCCTTGCTCTTTTTCAACCTATGGCGGCTGCCCAAACACCCCATCGACAGCCTTCTCCACTACTAGCATCGCCGTTCTCTACCCTCCCGGACCCTCTAACCAACCTGAAGCCTGTCACACATTTAAAACTGTGACCTTGTGCCGCCTGTTGTACCAATCCGTTGAAGAAAATACTTTAAAAATCTATTGTAGCGATTCGACGCTGCAAGAGACCGTCCGAAATGTGTGGATTGGACTCATTGGAGGGGCCCCTTGACTGCACTTTGTTTCAGCGCATTACCTAACGAAGATCTCGCTCTTGGCAAGCGCAACTACAATTCATGGAACATGGAAATGATGCAACATGATCGTCTCGACATCTCCCACGTCTAATGACTGCCCTTCCAATTTCATCAGTGATTTCCATGACGCACATACACAGTATGTCTCAACACGGACTCTAGGTCTAGCATGAACCAAACCCCCAAAATGCTGGTAGTATGCATGCTCGCGATGTAAGTAGAGAAAGAGTTAGAGGGGAAAGGGAAACAAATGGCTCAGGCGTAGAAAGACTAATCAACTTGCTAATTGATGTATGGACTATCTCGTAAATCGTGGGATACGTTGTATGCGCAACATCTCAGCGTGCAGCAGAAATGGTAAAGACAGAGAATTTTGAAAATGTAACGTAAAGCCAACCGCCTATCGTGTGAGCAACCTAGCAGGCAAGTCCTTCGTGGCTATATTCATTAATCATTTGGTAATTACACAATACCGGCATGCTTTGCCGTTTACGGACTCAGCATCCTTTTCACCATGGCCTGCGCTACATGCGCAAGATCCGGGGTACCAGGGCAACGCTGCTCATTGCCACCAATTGCACTAGCCTCACATCCATCAGGATAGAAGAAAGCAGCTAGTGCGATGATGATGTACGCCGCAATGAGCAAACTGCCTTCAAGGTAATTACTTCTGCCGTCCAAGACCAAAAAGTTACAGATCAGTACGGTGACGAACAAAGCCACTGTCTCGAAAATGTTGAAATAGAGAGTCATCTCTTTTCCCATGCACCAGCCGAGTATGACAATGACAGGTGTGATGAACAATGCGATCTGGATTGATGAACCGACAGCGATGCCGATGGACAAATCCATCTTGTTCTTCATGGCGACGGTTACGGCTGTGACGTGCTCGGCTGCGTTACCGACAATGGGCAGAATGATGAGACCAATAAAAGCTTGACTAATACTAGATGTCTCAACCATAGGCTCGATGGCGTCACTCATGAAGTCGGCACAAACAGCGACAAGCCCAGTGCTGATGAGAAGCATGAAGATGGCAGCCTTGATCGACATTTCGGGAGCTTCTTCGTCTTCATCGTTCTTGCTAATGAGCGTCATGGCTGCTTGAGGAGATACAGCCGGGCGATGAACCGTACTTGGTGATGAGCCTTCGCGATGTAGTTGATTTGGCATAGATTTTGCGCGACGAAGAGGTGCGGCTCGGGGAGCGGCCATACGAATATTTGGGGCCGGTCCGTTAGGCACATTCTGGGGATTGGAGAAGACATTATTCGACAGGAGAGAAGGTAGGCCAGGACGGTAGCGTGATGTAGCTGGGGTGGGAGTGTTGGACGGAGGAGGTTCGACAAAAGTGACGCTCGGCGAAGGTTCGGTCAGCTTTTCTTCAGCGATAGGCTCATGGTTACGGTTACGACGATCCTTCTTCTTTTCACTCTTGCGTTTTCGTTTTTCCTTGATCGTTTTCGAATGCGAAGTGTTTGAGGCTGCCTCAAAATCACGAATAACAGGTGTGTATTGGCTGCTGTCAGCTTCATCGCCACTCATGACATCGATGGAGTGACGGCGTGAATCCAGCCGTGTTCCACCACAAACAGTAGCGACACTATTGTTTCTCTCAGATTCGAGCGGACTGTTATGGTCGTCTGTGAATGGAGAAGAGGTGGGTGGCAAGGCGCCTTCCTCTTTCGAGCTGGCGCTTGACTTGCGTCGCAGCCTTTTGACTATGCGTCTCGCCTTCTTCATAGTGCCATGAGAGGAATCGATGGAGCCATCGGTTTCGCTACTGCTAGATTCTGATGAAGATTCTGAGCTGGATGAATCGAAAGCACCGGCAAGTACACCGGGATGTGACTCCTCATCGATGATGTGCTGAGGAGTACTGGCATATAAGTAGCGATGGCTTTTAAGCTGGAAGAGAAGGTAGAGGCCGTAGACCAGCAGCAAGATGACGCTGGTGCCCCGGCTGACAGCAAGTGTCTCGTGGTCAGCAATGGCGTTATCGTTGAAGGCCGCGTGGAAAGCTGTGGGTAGAAGTAGACTCATGACAGCAAGTGCGAGCATGACACCACTCATCTGCGTGACTGTATTGTTGTAAACTTGCTCTTGGTACTTGAGGCCTCCGAGCAGGAAGGCCATGCCCAGAATCAAGAGCAAATTGGCCAGAATGGAGCCTAGCAGCGAGGCCTGCACGACCTCGATCTGATCGGATGCGAGCAAGATGATGAAGAGAATCAACTCGACTGCATTTCCGAATGAGACGTTGAGTAGTGCACCAAGAGTGTCTCCGACGCGTGCGGCGACCACTTCGGTCGCATGTGCAAGCAAGCCTGCCAGGGGGATAATGGCGATGGCGTTCATCGAAAAGACGACGGCGGGCGTGAGTTTCGCCAGTTTAACGGCGATACCAAGCGGGACAAACACCAAGAGGAGGTTGATCCAGCTGTGGATAAGGGCATTCTTGGTATGGGTGAGAAATCTCAAGGATCCGTTCTTGATCCGCGTGGCAGACCACAGCGGGAGCTTGTCAGATCCTATGGCGGAAGACGCATCTCCTTTGGCCACGGTATCCTCGAGGCCATTGTTGGCAGCGTTTTGGGGAGCATTGCGGTCTGCGGATGTTTTCTCGCCCAAGTCACCAGGATTCAGGCCTGGGTGAGCGGTGGGAGGGTTGTGGGTCGGTAAGACGGGCTGGGTGTCTTTGTTTCGTCCCAAGCCAAGTGCAATTGCTGCCTTGGACTTGACACTATGTAAAGAAGGGTCGTCAGGTTCTCCCATCTGTTTTGTGTGGGCTGGGCCTAATTGGGGATGTGAAGAAGTACAATGAAGATGTACTTGATCGTGTTGGAAGAAGGCCAAGAGAGAGAGAAAGAGAGCGTGTGTGTGAGACAGCAGCTGGGGATTATCTACATTGGCGGAAGGCTTAGGTAACCTTGGAAAGCGCGCTTCGACCGTCTCGGCGCCGGATCTTCTAGCCGCGAGGACTGGCAGGCGAATGACGTCTTGTTCCGCGTGATCGGAGTGGATCGGACGTGCACAGCCACACTGCGCGAGTGGCGGGTGGGGAAAGCTTGATGCAAGTACTGTGTACAGTACTCCTAAGTACCGGTCGTGCGCGAAGGCTGAAAGGTGACGAGTCGATGAGTCGATGGATGTTTGCTTGATGGAGTGGTGGTACTCTATTCTGGATGGCGGTTCAGAGTACTCATACAAGGGTGCATGTGTTGGTAATGCCAGTGACAGTGACAGCAACAGCGACAGCGACAGACGTCCATGTCTTTCTGGAAGAACCACCGTGGCGGGCTTTTGTTTGTTCCCAGCTGTCAGGTGCATTCCATGTATTCCATGCGATGGATTTGCTGTACCTACATATTAGCCCGCATCCTGATGATGCGCTTCTTTCCAGTCATTCATGACTACTATGCTACGTACATGTATCATGGAGATGCCATACACGTGTCTTCGTGTGATTACCCAGGCACATTACCTACCGTCGCAAGTACTACGCGCGCCTGACCTAGCCGATTGTCGCAAACCTTTCACAGTGAGGCGGTAGTTGATAGTGTAGAATTTTTTTTTTAAAAAAAAACCCTCGGCGAAGAGATCCATCCATGTTTTGACTCTTGAGCCACACTTGCGCATCGTACCGTACAATACCTGTTACGGTCAATCAGGCACGTGTGCGATTGTCATTGCAGCAGGTGGCGTGGCGCAGTAGAGCCGGCGCTGCGAGGTCCAATCACAACTTCAGAATCCGTACCTTAAGGCCCCCGAATACGCGTCGCAGCATGCCATAGGTGATTCTACCCTGATCCTGAAACAGGGCGTGAGGTGAGGCTTCCAACCTCATTGTATGCATCTACTGCACCCATAGTGCTGCGCCTTGACAGTCAGAGTATACAAATCAAATTCCACGAGAGTCGTCACAATCCCTCACACTTGAGCTTAACGTGATCCACCACCGAGCGCCCACCCCCACCGAGCGCCCACCAACACCAAAATCACCAAATTTTCAACACTAAATTTCTTAATAACTATGGCACCTATTAATAACGCGCTTGTAGTAATTAAATCCTTAACTCTTAGAGAAGATTTTATATACTTAGAAATAGTAGAAAAGTATAGTTACTTATAGTTAACCTTATCTAGACACTACTAGAAAATTTAGTAAGTATATACTACTACTCTACTAAATAGTTAAATACTTAATACTATATAAGAAAGTAAGCTTATAAAGTATATTAAAGAGCTTTATAGGCAAGGATTACCTCCTATATAGACTATTATTTAAAATTTTATAACTAAAATAATAGGGAATCTAGTAGGTAAAAATTAGGTATAGCGCTTTATTAACTACTATAATATTAATCTTATCTCCTATTAGGCTACTAGGCTTAATTATAACTACTTTAAAGCTAATTCTACCTTTAAGTATAGTTTATACTTTAAGCTTTTATACTAAAAAATAAAGTAATATAATATTAAGAGTTAGTATATCTATAATATAGATAAGAAGGGTTTTCTTATTAGAGTACTATTAAAAACTAAATATATATTTAATAAGAGCGCCTATAAGTAGAGAAAGATTAGAGCTATACTCTAGGATAGTAATAGGGAGTGGATTACTACTATAGCTTGCATATGCGCTAATAGTACTACTCTTACCTCTACCCTTATTTATTAGTCCTAATCTAGAGCTCTATAGGATACCTAGTTATAAGATTTTAACCTATTATAATACTAAGCTTTCTTTATAGGATTACTAAGTAGGTAGACAAGCCACACCCTAGGGGTATCCTAGCTTAAGGAGGTGTTTAATTATAAGACAAAAGCTAAAGCTTATACTTTATACTAGCTCCTTATCCTTAATAGCTATAGATCTTATATAATAATAGAGTTTATTAAGTACTATAATAAATATAAGATCCTACTTATAATATATCCCCCTTATAGCACTTACACCCTTTAGCTACTTAATATTATAGTATTTGCTCCCTTTATAGCTTTATATAAAGCTTAACTATCTAGTTTTCTAGATAGCTCCTAAGGGCTTATAAGCATTACTAAGAGGGATTTCTACTAGTTATTTAATACTATATAGAGTAATACCTTTAAGGAAAAGCTAATATTAATAGCTTTTAAAGTAATAGGTATCTTACTACTTAACCCTAATATTATCCTTTTAAGGTTTAAAGCACCTATAAATAATAGTAACTAGCCTTCTTTAAGTAATAGTATAACCTTAATATTAAGTATAAGTAATTAGAGAAAGATAGAGTAGTTACTCTATAATACTATAATTAATATCTATAATAAATAGTTAAAGAAGCTTAGCTAGATAATCTATACTATATTAGTAAAAAATACTCTACTTAACTATAAAAATAAATACCTAAGGGCTACCCTAGCTAATAAGAAGAAGTGTAGGAAGCGTAGTAAACCTCTATTATTACCCCCTAATAATAATTATAGTAGTAGTGCCTAATTTATTTTACTATTAAAGGTAGAGCAAGTATTTAAGCTTTAGAAGTAAAAGAACCTTAAAGAATAGAAGCTATAATACTAAAAAAGTAAGGTAATTAAGCTTTATAAGTAATAGAAGCTTACTAAAGCTTAACTTATAAAGGAGTATTACCTAAATTAAGTAATTACTAAGAAGGAGTAGAAGGAGAAAGCTACCTAAAAAGCTACTATACATAATAAGTAGAAAACTACTAAGTAACTAGAAAAGTAACTCTAAAATAATATTAAAATATCCTAAATAGGTAAGAGGTAAATCCTTAAGCCTCCTACTATTATACTAGCTAAGGTGGTTAATAAGGAGCTAGTAGAAGAGGATATAGTAGTAGAGGCAACTTTACAGCGTGGGCGCCTAATTAGACCCCCTAAAAAGCTGCTTACATAATCTAAAATATTTAATCTACTCTAATAGATCTAATAATCGCGACTCTAAGAAATCTCGTGATAATAGCTATTGTGGGTGGCGCAATATCCTCATTTAGTGGGTGGTGGATTTTGGTGTTGGTGGGCGCTCGGTGGGGGTGGGCGCTCGGTGGTGGATCACGTTAATTGCTAGGTATCCTAACGACAGTCTTGGACAGCCTTACTTACCTAACTTACCTCGCACCAAAACATCTCACAATGGCTCGCTACACAGACGCGGACAGCGTACCTCTTCCCCACACACAACTCATTGTCCTCAGCGACTGACTGACCATGGAAGGATGCGCAACGCCTACCTGAAGGCTTCCACCGGATCGGTTTCGACGCCGACACGTCCATCTACACATTTAGCGGCCCCGATGGCAAGCTCTACGAATCCGAGCCCGGCAACCGCTACGGCGAGCTCTATCCGGTTGGCGAGCCTCGCCCCCAGCGCAGCGAGGCAGATATCGAGGCTGTCAACGCAGTTATCGAGGAAGACCACGCGAGTGCTGTCCGCACCATGCTACCGTTCGCGCTCCTCGTCTTTGTATTCATGCTACTGGTGTTCAAGCTGGTGAATTAGGGTGCATTGAAGCGTGCGCTGACGATGAGTGCGTGTATGCAGGTTGCTGACTGTCTTGAAGGCGGTCATACGGTTCAAGTCGGGAAAAGCGAAACCGGAGAATCGGACGAGGCGCGATAGTGTGGAGAGCTTTTTGAAGCCAGAGAAAGGGAGGTTGGATAGCGTTGTCGAAAGGGAGAAGAACAAGGACTTTGGTTGAGGAAAACCCATAGATCAAGTATCATGCGCGCCGCCATTGTATGTCTTATGTGTGAGTAGGTACGGATGATAGGTACTTTGACGCTGTCGACGATAGAGTGAAGAGATTCTATGGAGCAAGATAGTAGCACCACCAATGGCAGGGCGATTATTTACAATATCTGCGCCTTACCTTGTTAGGCTTAGCGCCTCAGCACTGAGCTCTGACATCCAACTTCGCCATGTCCGTTCATCCACCAAACCCAGACGTCCGCCCACGCATTGCACCTCACCACCGCATCCTCACATAGACATACACATACAGAACCCCTCTTACAATGGCTGTCGGTCCTCTCGGTCCCTCTGGTGGCCCCAAGGTCAAGAATTCGTATGTTGCGCCCAATCGCACCGCGCCGCCCGCCCGCACACACTTTCGCATCAACCCACCCGCTTTTCCCCGATACCCCGTTGCGCGACACCCACCCCACGCCACAACATGCAATACCGTCTATAGGCACTTGGCTAACGCGGATACGCAGATGGCATATTGGATCATGGGGTAACCCCTACGAGGGTGGCGGCCGTCCTGGCAAGGGCGTCATCAGCTACGCCCTCAGTCCCAACCGCCAGCGCCCCATGGCTGGTTTCATTTCCAAGGGCTTCTGGAACGTTGTTCGTCGCTCGAAGAACCAGGTGCTCTTCTTCATCCCCCCGTTCGTGGTCGCATATGGCACCATGCAATGGGCTATTGAGAGGTGAGTAGTCCATGACATAAGGTGATGACAGTTGTATGGTGTGCAGCTGGGCTAATATCGGCTAGGAACGAATTCCTCAACTCAAAGGCGGGACGCGCCCTCTATGGCGACGAGGAGGAGTAGATTTGGAAACAAGGGAGACGGCATGTACATTTAAAAACTCCAGCATGAGAGTTCTGACCTGGAGACTTGCTCAAGGGGGTTGACGAATAGACTGTACAACTGTTATGCTGAGTTCCACTGCTGTGGTGATATCAACTGATTGCTCAGCGCGGCGAAATCACAAAAGACAACTTAGATAAAAGATACAAATCCCGAACCCCCAACATACGTCCCCTCACAAGAACGTCTGTAGGCCCTCACAAACCCCCTCCTTTACAACACTATACTCAGGTACCTTGCCCCCTTCAAAAGGTGCCACGACCGCAACCGTCACCTCATCCCCCGGATACCTCGTCTTATGCCCTTGCCCCACTGTATCCGCCGCAAACACCAAGCCCCCTTTCCCGCCCACAATCCACAGTTCTTGCCCCTCTGGATCCTGCGGAAGCGTAAGGTGTACCAAACCACTGAGGAAATGCACAAGTTGCGCGGCAGGCGCGTTGTGCAGCCCGCCGTCGAAGCGCGGGGGTAACACAGTGTAAGTTGTGTTCGTTGTGGCGAGAGTTAGGGCCTGGGTGCCGAGGGTGCCGGGAGTGGAGGATGTGGTGAAGGGATGGGTGAGATTTATGCATTGAATGCTGGTCGTGTTTAGGGGCGAAGTGAGGAGGGCGGGGACGATGAGGTGGGTTTGGTTTTGCGCGTAGATGTGGGTAGCGGCTGAGAGGAGAGTGGAGAGGGGAAGGATAGACTTGGATCTAATGAGGTGCATGATTGCTAGAAGAGTTTGAAAATCTGGACTGTTGAATGTATGGTGGTGAATGAGAAGCGATCGTCGATTGGTTTTTCATGCTGATATTGCTGAAATGTGGTATTCCAGGTGTGGTTTAGGCGGGGGGTTTGGCTGCATGCGGCTTTGCTGCAGGCTTACCTATGAATCTGACATGTTGCTCGGTAACTATGTGGAATTGCTGATTTCAAGAAAGGATATTTGCAGTAACATAAAGACATGATTTGAATGGTACCTTGACAGAGTGTGACTGGTAAAGGGTGAGTGGCAAAGCCTTTATTTGGGAGCTGCATATCAATCGAGGGCTGGAGGAATGCCATGAACGGTTGTCGTGGTGTCAGACATGATCATATGCACTACTTTACGTACCATAGTCTAGATGTATGTAAGCTGCTTATAAAGATGTCTGAATGAGCAGGTAAGTGGATGTCGAAGTTCCATGTGTGATCTGGACATGGATGGGCGAGAGGGAGGGAACTGGCCGCGCGAGCGTCGGGCCGGCTTGGCGTCGCTCGGCCCAGAAAATGAATCATCACTTGCATCTCGCCGCCTTGCCCGCCACGAGATCGCATGGTAGGTGGTCTCTCGCACCGGCGCAGCAACTGTCCCTCACCATTCACCTGACCCCAATCCCCTCCTCCATCTCCTCCATCTCTCTCTCTTTCCCTCCCTTCCTCTTCCCTTTCACCCCCTCCCCCACCATGTCAACACTGCTCCGCCGATCGGGTCAGCTAGCACGAATCTCGAGACCGTTAAGCGGCGCAACGCCCAGAGCAACACCACTCACATTACGGAGACGAGTTCCCATCCCACAATGTATATATGCGCAGCAACGGGTGCGGAGATATGCGACGAGTCCGCCTGAGGAGCCCAAGGACAACAAAAGGGACGAAGAGCAGGCCAAAAAAGATGGCCAGGCAGACAAGCCCGCGGCCAACAACGAGGCCGAGGCTGGCGAGAAGAAGGCGGAACCCCAAATGTCAAAACTGACGCTCGAGGAGGAGAAGATGCTGGACCAATTAACTCACTACGTGTCCATGGGCGTGCCAAAGTCGCAGAGGGCGGCCATCAAGGAGGTCATGGACGAGTTCAAGAAGACGGGCCTTCCCCCAGACATGCGAGCGGAGATGGAGCGGCTGAAGAAGGGTGAAAAACTGGATCTGGCGACAATAGCCAGGATATCGCGAATAGCTAATCATATGGCTCGCGTGGCAACCGAGCAGAGTCGCTTCAAAACGGATGGCCAGCAGCCACAGCAGAAGGCGGGCGCCCACGACCCCGGCCCACAGCAGCAGGGGAAGAATTCCAAGGGTGCAGACGCTGGCTCAGGGCCCGGCATGGGCGGCCCCAATGGCATGGACACGAACACACTCATCGTCACTGCTATCCTCTCCTATCTCACCTACAAGATGCTATACCCCGGCGAGAACACAAAGGAAATCACATGGCAAGAGTTCCGCACGACTTTCTTGGACAAGGGACTGGTCGAGAAGATTGTCATCCTGAACGGTAGCAAGGCAAAAGTATATCTACACCGTGAGGCCGTCGCAGCCATGTACCCAGACTCGCCCTCGGTCAACCAGAATTTCTACTACTACTTCACTATTGGTTCTGTGGAAGCTTTTGAGAGAAAGATGGATGACGCCCAGTACGAGTTGGAAGTGCCCAGCTCAGAGCGCATTCCAGTTGCCTATTCGAGTGAAATCTCCTGGTTTGGCACCTTCCTGTCCTTCGGTCCCACAATCCTCCTACTTGGTTCCCTGTTCTATTTCACACGACGTGCTGGAGGCGGCGCTGGCGGCGGTGCTGGCGGTGGTATCTTCGGTATGGGCAAGAGCCGCGCGAAGAAGTTCAACCACGAGACGGATGTCAAGGTCAAATTCTCCGATGTTGCTGGCATGGATGAGGCTAAGCTGGAAATCATGGAATTCGTTTCTTTCCTCAAAGACCCGACTCGCTTCCAGAAGCTCGGTGCCAAGATCCCACGTGGTGCTATTCTCTCTGGCTCTCCCGGTACCGGTAAGACGCTCCTTGCCAAGGCTACTGCCGGAGAATCGGGCGTACCTTTCTTCACTGTCAGTGGCTCCGAGTTTGTCGAAATGTTTGTCGGTGTCCGTGCTTCCCGTGTACGAGACTTGTTCGCCAATGCTCGCAAGAGCGCTCCCTGTATCATCTTTATCGATGAAATCCACGCTATTGGCCGCGCGCGTTCAAAGCAGAACTTTGGAGGCGGCAATGATGAACGTGAGGCAACTCTCAACCAGATCTTGACGGAAATGGACGGCTTCAACACTACAGAACAGGTTGTTGTTCTTGCTGGCACAAATCGACCGGATGTTTTGGACAAGGCTCTCATGCGACCCGGACGATTCGACAGGCATATCAGCATCGACAAGCCTACCATGGACGGTCGTGGCCAGATCTTTGGCGTTCATCTCAAGAAGATCATCACCAACGAGGATATCGAGTTTTTGAAGGGACGACTGGCAGCATTGACGCCTGGATTTTCTGGTGCAGATATTGCTAACTGTGTTAACGAAGCTGCTTTGATTGGTATGTATCTAGACTGTTATAAAATTCTCCTTGCTAATGATTCGCAGCTGCTCGTCACAACGCGGAAACCGTAACAATGGTCCACTTCGAACAAGCCATTGAGCGTGTCATTGGTGGTCTCGAAAAGAAGTCTCTCGTCCTCAAGCCAGAAGAGAAGAAAACCGTAGCGTACCACGAGGCCGGTCACGCAATCTGCGGTTGGTACTTCAAATACGCCGACCCCCTCCTCAAAGTCTCCATCATTCCTCGCGGCCAAGGCGCTCTCGGATATGCCCAGTACCTCCCCAACGGCGATACCTATCTCATGAACGTCAACCAGCTCATGGACCGCATGGCAATGACACTTGGCGGTCGCGTCTCTGAGGAACTCCACTTTGACACTGTCACATCGGGCGCCTCTGACGATTTCCGCAAAGTCACGCAAATGGCCACTGCCATGATCACCAAATGGGGCATGAGCAAGAAGATTGGTTACATCTACTTTGAAGATGGCGAGGGCCAACAACTCACGAAGCCCTTTTCCGAAGAAACCGCGAAAAACATCGACGAAGAAGTCAAACGCGTCGTCGACGAAGCCTACAAGCAATGCAAAGACCTACTGACCGAGAAGAAGCACGAAGTCGGCCTTGTTGCCGAGGAGCTGCTGAAGAAGGAAATGCTAGGCCGCGAAGATATGATTAGATTACTGGGACCCAGACCTTTTGAAGACCCCGCCGATTTCCACAAGTACTTCTCTGGCGAGCATGGGAAGGCGCCAGGCTTGATGGAGCCAAAAGGGGATGATGGTGTCAAGGGCCCATTGGTTCCACCGCCTGCGCCGGCTGCATTCAAGGAGCTGGAGAGGTGAGATGGACAAGGAGCAGCAGTTCTTCTTCTTCCCAATCGTGTGTCCAGTTCCGCACGCGCTACGGTGTTTCGAGCATCTCTGTCTTTATGGTTTAAGAATGGGTGATTTGTGGTGGAAATCCCTCGAGGTTGGAATCCCATCTCTTTCTGCATTATGATTATATTGTGTATGTATAGATGAAGAGGTGCCTGTGCGCCATGGATGCGAGGGGTCTTTGTATTGTATACGTTTGTGTGTGTATGTGGATGAGGAAGGGGGCGTGCCGTCTGCAAGTTCGTCATGGGAAAAGGGATAAGGAAAAGATAGCAACGAATTAAATATACCCATACGTATAACTCGGCTTTTCGTCTACTCTGCGGTCATGGTTATGACCTTCCTGGAATAAAATGCTGTGTCAGACAGGCTGGTTAATCGCAAGTTCGTCATCCTGAACGGGGGCATCTGAACAATCAGGCTAACAATGTGGTACGGCCGAGACTTTGTGGAGGCGTAGATGGTTGCTAGTGTGTTGAATGGGGTGTGATGGAATTCTACTAATGGTCTAATGCGTAGATTTATGTACATAGTTTTGTTAGGTGAACATTTCTTAAGCACATAGATACGGGTGGAAAATGAAGTGTACAGCGGGTGGTAGGACGAGATTATTAGGGTGGGGGTTTGGATGATTGAGATAGGCTGGTGTTTTCGGGGGAAAGGGGAGGACAAGCCTATCCTAATATGAGGAGGTGTTGACGGAAATGTTAGCATTGCTGTCCTGTCTACTTTCCATTCTGGGTCAGTTGTGGGATCTTAATAACCCATCGGTTAAACCTACATATTGTGGGAAAGTCGTTTCCTGCTAGGAAACGACTCCAAAGAGGACTGTGCGCTACTAGCGTCTTGCAGGAAATAACCGTGCGAGGAAAATTAAAACCTAAAACCCGTTTCCTGCGACCCCTACTACCTAAAACCTGTTTCCTGCGACCCCTGCCTAAAACCTGTTTCCTGCAAACCTAGACCTAAAACCTATTTCCTGCAAACCTAGACCTAAAACCTGTTTCCTGCAAACCTAGACCTAAAACCTGTTTCCTATAAACCTAGACCTAAAACCTGTTTCCTGTAAACCTAGACCTAAAACCTATTTCCTGTAAACCTAGACCTAAAACCTATTTCCTGCAACCCCTACTACCTAAAACCTATTTCCTATAAACCTAGACCTAAAACCTATTTCCTGCAACCCCTGCCTAAAACCTATTTCCTACAACCCTTACTACCTAAAACCTATTTCCTGCAAACCTAGACCTAAAACCTGTCTCCTATAACCCCTACTACCTATTTCCTTATAAAAGTCCTACCTTTAGTAAAGAATTCTTCTTACACAGACTATTATTTAAGGGTACAGCATTTATTAAAATTATTTCTATTACTAATAGAGTAATATAGAGGTCTTAATATAGATAGAGGGTTTACTTAAGAGTAATAGGGTTAGTAGCTATATTATAAATACACCCTATTACCCTTGCTAAAATATCCCCCTCCTACACCTTACTACACCTACACTTGCACAACTAATTATATATATTAATAATAACTACTATCTATATACTTAACTATAGGATAGTAATGCCACTATATATAGTGCCTATCTCTAAGGTAGTCTTAGCCCTAAACGCCCCCTTAATAGTTAATTTAAGGGCCTTATCTTTGTTAACTTGCACCTCCTCTACTCTCCTTATTATAGGGGGGGTGCCCTAGTAACTATATAACTATTAGCTTTAGAGTAAATTATCTTAATATACACATACCTATTAAGTATTAGTAGTAGTTACTCCCCTAGATACTAATTAACCTACTCTAAGAAGAGAAACTCTTGTAGTAGTAGACGCTCCTTAATAAATACTATAAAAAGTAGCTTAATATGTTGCGCTAGGGATATTATATCCTTATTATACTCTACTACTATCTCTAACTACTGCGTAACTTATATCTAGGTTACCTATTTAAACTAGACGTTTACTCTAATACTCTTTAGAAGAAGCCTAAAGATCCTAACTATACTAAAGCGTTTCTTTATAGTATTCTACTTCTTACCCTAATCTAGTAAACCCCTAAATAGCTTATATAGTTCTAGGTTATCTCTCTTATTAGGTATATAACTATTATTAGACGCGCATGTAACCTTAAAGAGGTAGTCCTTTACTATAGATCTATATCCTACACCCCTTGCACCTATACTATAGGCTATACTATAAATTATCTTCTTAAGAGAAAGATATTCCTTATAGAGGATATATAGCTTCTATCTTTACTATATCTCCTCTATAAAGCTCTTAATCCTGCTCTTTTATATGTCTACAAGTTAGTACTAGAATATCTCCTGCTATAGCATAGTAAGCCCTATTTTATCTACCACGTTACGTCCCTCCTACTAAGAGTAGATAAGTTATAAGTTTATTAGATTAGGACCTAAATTATCTATCTAGAATATATACGCTGCTAGGGTTATATAGGCTATTATTACTTATTTAAACTACTTCTTTGCCTTATAATACTACCTCTTCTACCTAACAATAATTACCTGCTAATCTAGAAAGGCCTCTCTAGACCTAACTACCTCTATATTTAATATTATCTAGGCTACAATATTAACCTCTACACCTAGGAGGCTCCTTACAAAATTCTAATAACGTTACTACTTATTTATAAGGGTTACCTCTGCCTTTATAGACTTCTAATCCTGTTTGCTAGCAATAGTTTAGACTAATACAAGGTTTATCTTTTTAACTAGGGCCTTATTTACTTACTTTATACTTTTTTCTTTTATGCCACGTTTCCTTTTACGCCTACCTATATTTGCTACCTTGCTCTCCTTAGGTACTATTACTAGAATAACTAACTAGCTGCAACCCTATGTGCCTTAACTATTACTATCTCTTTCTTTAGCTTTAGTTACTAGGTTGTCGTAGATATTATTAATTACCTTAATTAACTTCTAGCAGTTTGTGTTGCAATATATCTAAACTAAGGCGTAGTATAGATCTCTAATAATTAAAGCCTTAGTAGGATTAAAATTATTAGTAACCTAGCTATATATAACTAGACTAGCACGTAATAGCATACTATCTACGCCTAAGATTACGTTTACCTGCTTAATATTATTTAATAGGTTAACTAGTATAAATAGTAGTTTGCTTATTATAAAGAGAGTATAGTATTATGTGCTAAGTAGAAGGTTATAGTGTGTAAGGAAGGAGAAAGGTTTAAAGTTATAAGGTGTAAGTGTTCTACTACTACCCTAACGCTAAAACAGTTAGATTAGCCAAGTTAGACATTTTATAGCAATTTAGGGTCTAATTCTTAGTTAAAATAAGTAGTGTCCTATCTTTACCCTCCTTTTTAAAATCTTTTTACCTTACTTGTATACTACTACCTATTAGCTTCTATCTCTTCCTCTATTATAAGTATTACTAATTATATTACTATTTATCCTAAACTAGGATTTAGGATTATAGTATGCAAATATTATTATTATTGCCTTATCCTATCTTGTATCTTTTAGCACTTTTCTAGTAAGCATACTAATTACACAGATTGCCTTAAGCGCGAAATACTTTAGGAATTTGTTAATAGCTAGATAGATAATCTTTATAAAGATATTACTAATATCCTACTACCTCCTTAGCTATATACTATTATTAAGTCCCTCTAACTTTATTATAATTCCCTTAAATATAATAATTATAGCTATATTACAATAAAGTAGAGTATAGAGGGAAATATAAAAACCTATCTATACTCCTATAGTATCTTTATATCTAATATTAGGACTCTAGCTAGGAAAATGTAGGCTACCTACTAGACTATTATTACTACCTAACAAATATTCTAGAGACACAGCCTACCTACCTAAGCTACTAAGCATTTTAAGGTGTATAACCTAGTCACCCCTACTATAATCCTAACCCTAGAGCCTACGCTCTATACGCTAATTAACCTAGCTCTACTTACTCTAGACTCTAGACCTATAACCCTACCTACTAAACTAATATAATATAATAGAATTAACAACTTAAAGGCATAGCTAGAGGCTACACAAACTTAGGCAGATATAGAAGAGGTAATAGCTACTGCTATTATCCTACTAGCCCTACTACGCTAGACTAACCTATACCTTAAGCACATAAAATTTTAGCTCTACCTAGGGGGGCTAGACTAGGCAGAAATTTAGGAATATATTATCCCTACTACTACCCTAGCCCTTAATTACCTTAAAAAGTCTATTTAGAGCACTACGCTTATATACTAGTATATAATAGTATCCACACTATATTAGGCACGTATCTAGGTTATATAAGAGTATCTCTAATATATTCCTATAGCACCCCTTATCCTATACTTAGCTTTTAATAATAAGTATAGTAATACACTTATCTATATATTTATATTCTTTTACTAGGTTCTCTCTTAATAGCTTCCCTCCCTAATAACCCTTTCCCTTACTAAAAGATAAGCAGTAGCTTAGACTACTATTTAGACACACTTAGATAGCCTAAATAATAAATACCTTACTATTAATACCTACTATAAGTAACAAGCATTTACACTATTTAAAGAGCTCTATTATAACTTCTAGATATCTCTTACTAAGCAAACTAGTGTATATAGCAACTTTAACCTTGCCCTTATTACACCCTTAGCTTTTATAGCTATAGATATCTAGTAAGACTAATTTTAAGAGGCATATAACTTTACTATAGACTGCTTAGCTATTAAGAAATATACACGTATAGCAGGGTGCTACAAATTCTATAGAGCAGATAATAATAAGGATACTTCTACTTATATAAAGGTAGATAGCCTACTTAGTAGTAAGGAGCCCCCTATAAGTTAAGTAGAAGCTACCTTTCTTATCTAACAACAAGATACTATAAAGCTAGAATATGCCTAGGATAAGGAGAACGCCTAGGTAAAAAACACTAACTTTAAAGCTTAGGTTTACTATTACCTTACTAGTAAATTTT